ACCATCTGGTCGGCAACCGCCGTGGCTGCGCCACCCAGCTACGGCTGCCGACCACCATTTTTTTTTTTTTTTTTTGGTTTTCAATTTAATTAAAATAACTTTTATCAAAATTAAATCAAATCAGTCTAAAAAATTTAAAATTAAATCAACATTCCATTTTAAAATTAGGGTTCATCATAAAATTAATCCCAATTTAATTCTAACTCTTAAAATTAAATCGATGATCTTACACAAAATATTTTTATGCATAAATCAATCCGATTAAAATTATGAAGCTTAAAACAATTTGAATTAAATCAAAATCAAGCATAAAAATCATATTTTAGGGCTATGAATTTGGAAAATCCGAAAATTTTTAGGGTTAGGACTCGAAATTTTTGAATACTTTAGGGCTAAAATTCGGTCCTCTTCATGGCTATTTGAGCATCATTAAATCACATTTAATCAATTTCAAAAGTTTAATCACATTAATATAACAATTGAACCATAATTAAATTAGCTTCTTCCTCCTAATTGATTATAAAATTAACATGGACTTCAAATTAATCTTATTAATATGATCAAGTGCGTTCATGCAAGAGGCTAACGGATACCACTGTAAGAGTTTATAGGTACTACGCAACGGAAAATCATGTATCATATTCATAAGAGTACCTAATCCTAAGATCACATGCATAACATACAAGACACATAATCATACCTTTGAAGCGTGAACTTCAGGTAGCAATTTGATTGACAAATCAGGGAGAGAATGGAGCCCCAAGTGTTGCTCCTCTACTTAGTCCACGAGCTTCGAACGAGTTGTCCACCAATACTAGAATGGTTGGGTGATTGAGGAAGACCGCGATCACCACCTTTATTGGACTAAGCCGACCACCACGAACCACCACACTGGCGCCGAGGGAGGACAGAGGGCCATGAGAGAGAGGAGAGTTTGAGAGGGTTGGTCTCATGTTTTCTAAGTCGGGTTTGATCTTACTGATCACTGAATTGCTTGCTTGCAAACCCTAGGCACCTGGTCTACTTATAATCACATTATAACTAGACTAGAGTTAGGAAGCCCAAAACCCACAAACTCACTCCACATGGCCGCCCATACTAGAGAATGAGTCCCATAATGGGCCTTGTCCTCTCGTGCCCGATCTAGACCCTTTGTGTGATCTTATAGGATTCTTTCAATTGGGCTTTGGGATATTTTACTAGCCCAAAGATCGTTAGTACCTCTAGCTATGATAAAACGACAACCCAAATGTCCGAACTTCATTATCTCCATAATTTGATCCATTGATATATCTAATAATTGCACACGACGAAAACATAAATCCTTCAAGTATATTGTTACTATTGGTTTGTATACTATTATTATTGGTTTGTATACTGCTATTAAGAGGAGATAGACTACTTTTTTACAGCATGATAAATTGTACGCAAAATTACATTTTTGCCCTTGGTATGGGTCCAACGAGCCCATACCTGGTAGTGGTTTATCATTTCTCATTTGATTTTTCTCTCCTTTGAACCAATCTTTTTCACTCCATCTCTCCTTTTCCTCTCATTCTGCTAATTTCTAGATTACATTCTCACTTACCCAAGGGCGGTGATGATTTTCTCCGATCCTTTATTGAAGGAACTTCTATGCTGACTTACTCAAAGGCGGTGTACTTGTGGTGATTTTCTCTGATCCTCAATTGTTGAAGAAAATGAAGATCCTGATGTTGGTGCTTTAGAACAATCACGTTTTTTCCCTTAAATTTACAAAAAAAAAATTATTTCTATGATTCCTTCATAGAAGAAGAGGAAGGGAGGGTGCTCGCCGGAGACTCTATCATGCAGACCCTTGGTCATAATTAGTAGTGTTTTTGGCTCTTTAGAGCCATTTTTATTACTAATTAGTGTTTTCTAGTGTTTTCGTCGATTTGGTTGACTTTTGCAGGGATTTGAACTTTTGAAGCATTTTCCCGATATATCTTGGAGCAATTACGAGCATTGGAGAAGCACGACTAGTTTTTTACAGCCTAGGGCCAGTTAGAGCCATCGAACCGGTGATTAAGGGCTCGGTATATGAGATACCGGGGCATTTAGACCGAGTATTCAAGACCCAAAGAGGAAACCCAGATTGGCCCGAAGAATTGGAGCCCAATCGTAGTCCAGATAGTGGCCTAAGAGAGCTGCCCGGCCAAAGAGGCTGGCGCCCGGAGGCGCGCCCGGCCGGGCAAGAGAAGCAATAGTCGGCGCCCGAAGACGCGCCCGGTCAGGCACGAGATTCATACCTGATGAGAAAAAAGGCACGCCCGATTGGGCGGTGCCTTGCCCGATCGGGCGCGTATTATTATTGGGAGTTAATTTTGACGTTTAAGTTTGTTTTGGTTTAGGATTCATACGGAGTATAAATACTTCTCCGTAAAACGAGTTTAGTACTTTTCTTTACCTTCTTTTACTCTTTCTTAATTATTTCTTAGATTTTCTCTCACTACTTAGCTTTTAGATTAGTTTCTTTCTCTCATACTTTGTTCATTATTTTGATTCTTAATTCCAAATTTATTTTGGTCACAATTTCTCTTCTATTAATCTTAGTTGTTTATTCTATCCCTTTAATCATGTCTTATTCTATTGTTTTGATTAGTTTAGTTTTTATTATGTGTGAGTAGTTTTATTTCTAGGGTTTGCGGGGATCCATAAATAATATGAAGGGGTAATTTATTGTTGTTGATTGTCAATGCTAGATTAATTTCCTATTGATTGATTTAATGCTCTATGACTAGATTTGCGCAGATCTTTTATGCATGAGTTTGAAAATATTGATTCGAGATTCGACAGATGAGAATTGATGTTTAGGTCTAGTTTCAATAGGCAGGTTAATTTATAAATGGTTAAGTCGAGATTCGAAAGATGAGATTTAATACTGGTAAATTAATTGTGTGATTATAATATGTAGCGAAATCCCTTTATGATCTAATTAATGTATGCATTGATGATTGATAATTATGTTCTACCTTGGAATATTATTTATTGGCGAACCTATGCCCTAGATCCTTTTATTTATTGTTTTCTCCCTATTCTTAATCTTCGTAGTTTAGTTTCATATTCAAATTTATATATTGGTTACTTCATAATCTAGATTATATTAGTTAACTAGGAATAGAAAGACTCGTTTCTCTATGGATTTGACCCTACTTCCCTATCTACATTAGTTAGAGGATTTAGGAATTACTTTTGATTTGGGGATACGACTTTACCCTGTCAAAATTTGGTGTCGTTGCTAGGGAAACGGTTTTATTTTTATTTCTGATTATTTTTGTAGTCTAGGTTATTTCTTTTTGTCTCAGAGAACGTTAGTTCTTTGAGGCAAATCTCATATTTGCTTTTAGTTTTTTTTTTTTTTATGCCTAGGTGTTCCAGATCAGGGTACATCCCATTTGATCCTGAGATCGAACGATTCTTTCATAGACAGAAGAACTTCTACAAGCAAATTCTGGCGGATTTTGGTGATAATAATAATCACCGAGACACTCCAACTGGTTCTAGCGATTCAGAGGTATCATCAGATCCAGAATTAGAGATGACGGCTCCAAAGAAGCTTAGTGATTACTCACAACCAAAGCTTACATATTTTCCACATCTCACTCCCACTCCGGCTCTTGATGGGGTACAATTTGAGATTAAACCCCAATTTATAACGATGATAGAGAGGAAGCAATTTAGTGGAGCCAAGGGTGAAAACCCAAATCTTCACATTGCAGACTATTGCCAATATTTCAATACCAACAGGCAAGTCAGGGTCACACAAGACCAAATCAGGGAGATTCTCTTTACTTTCTCTTAACTGGAAAAGCCAAATTATGGTTTAATGGTTTAAATAGAACTGCACTTGGTATAACAGACTGGGAAACTCTTGTTTTGAATTTATATAACAAGTATTATCCTGCAGAGAGAACAGCCGTACTACGGAGTGCAATTCAGAACTTTGCCCAGAAGCTGATGAAACTTTATATGAGGCTTGGGAGAGGTTCAAGGACCTACAAAGAGAATGCCCCCATCATAATTTGGCACAATGGCAGTTAATCCAAGCCTTTTACAATGGCATTGGAAATTCTTCTAGAATAATTTTAGATTCTGCAGCTAGTGGGAGGTTTGTGAACCTTAATATTGATGAAGCAGGTCAGGTTATTGAAGATATGGCGATACATAATTCCCAATATGGGCATCCTAGAGGATTTTCTAACAAGGGGAAGCATAGTGTTGACTCTGTATCCTTTTTGCAAGCTCAATTGACCTCTATCTGCCAAAAATTAGATAATCTTAGCACTGCTAATGTAGCTAATGTTTCTGCAATTAATAATAATGCTAATGAGGCTTTCGGTGAAAATTGTGGAATTTTAGGTCATTGGGAACAAGATTGCAGGAGTTCCGTGGAGTAAGTTAATGTCTTTCAAGCTTATAGGCAGAATAACCCATACTCCAACACCTACAATCCTGGGTATCAGAATCATCCGTACCTTTCCTACCGGAGTACTAATGTTCAAAATCCACCACCACAAGAACCACAGGCGCCACAACAACAAGAGCAGAAATACTACCATCCCAATGCTGGCTAGAAGAACTAACCACAACAATCCTCCTCATCTTCCGACCCCGCTTTGGAAGAAATTAGAGCGATGATGGTTAATATGCAGAAGCACATGGAGAGTAGAGATGCGCAAATTGATTCAATTCTAGCACATAATAAAATTGTAGATAATCTAATTGCGCAGCTTTCCGCTACTCTACAAGCCCGCCAGCAGGGAGCTCTGCCAGCACAACCAATCAAGCCTATGCAATTACTCTAAGGAGTCATTCAAACTATGAAGGGCCCCCTATGCCCAGTGTTGATGAACCTGTTTTTATTAAATAATGCTAATCTTGATTCCGTTAAACCAAACAATGTAGCTAATAGCCCTGCAGGGTTAAAGCATAGTACTAATATATCTAATTCTACATTGCAGGGTACGACTCTAGAGAAGATGGCTATTCCAGATAAGAGCAATAATGCTCCAAAGCCAATTATCAAACTTCCATTCCCTAATTGTCAACTGAAGACAAATTTGGATAAGCAGTTTGGTAAGTTCCTGGACATGGTAAAAGATTTGAAGGTAACAGTTCCCTTCACTGTATTAATCACACAAATTCCTTCATATGCAAAATTTATGAAAGAAATATTGACAAGAAAAAGGTCTATTAGTGAGGTAGAGACAGTAGCTTTCACTACAGAGTGTAGTGCCGTACTTCAAAATAAATCCCCACCTAAATTAAAAGATCTGGGTAGCTTTTCTATCCCTTGTCATATTGGCAATGTAATGATTGATAATGCATTGTGTGATTTGGGTGCTAGCGTTAGTGTCATGCCATTATCCGTGTGTTCCAAATTGAATATGGGTAAATTAAAAGCTACCAATATTACTCTACAAATGGCCGACCGTTCTTTCAAATACCCTTTAGGTGTTTTAGAGGATGTTCCCGTTAGAGTAGGTAAATTTTATATACCTGTTGATTTTGTTGTTCTTGATATGGCTGAGGATATGCAAACCCCAATCATTTTGGGTAGACCATTCCTTAACACTGCAGGAGCAATTATAGATGTGAGAAGTGGCAAGTTAACACTATCCGTAGGGGACGATAAAATTATTTTTAATTTTAATAATACCCCTAAAAGCCCCATGACAGAGGAGAAGTGCTTTAGTGTTAATGTAGTTCAAAGTTATTCTAACAATCCCCAAGCTCTTGTAAAAGATCCCTTGGAGGCGGTATCTTGTGTTGCATCCCATTCAGCTGAGATAGACAAATGGCAGAAGGAAGTTGATGCAATAGAAAGAGCCTTCTACACTGTTGGTCTTGACTTTGAGGACGAAAAGGTGGAATCAATCAAGCAAGTTGTGCAAATTGAGCCTACGGTAAGTGTTCCGCCAGATCGAGTTGCAAGTGTTAAATGCAATGACAATTTGCAGCAACCCTCGATCAAAGAAGGATCTTTAGTGCTTAGCATTGAAGAACCCCCGATCCAAGTCAAGGAGGATCCACCAAATAAGGTGAATTGTCGTCCTACAGGGCATGTTAGGAAGCCGCGTGGTAGCCAAAACACCACTCGACTGGGTGAGAAACCGCCTGATCAAGCGTTAGGCCAATGGTCCTAGTTCTTGTACTTGGTAAGAAGGTCGTGCGGGACCTAAATAAACCAGCGCTCTGCGGGAGGCAACCCGTATTTTTAATGCTTTTTAGACTAGTTTTTCTTTCTTTTTCTTATGAGAGGAGAGATGAGGGAATTTAATGAGTTTTATGAGTTTTTGTCCAATTTTGAAGGAAAAGAGTTAGCCAAAATTGTAGAAAAGAAGAAAGCAAATAAAAATCGTCAATTAGCCTCGGGCCCGATCGGGCGAAGCTCGCTCGACCGGGCCTGAGAGCTAGGTTCAAAAATCGAGTATTTTCGCCCGAACGGGCGCGGAAATTGTCGTATACGGACATATTCGTCCACCCGATCGGGCAAACCTCGCCAGACCGGGCGTGAGAAAAGGCGAAAATTTCAGCATCAGATCACCCGATCGGGCGAAGGGCGCCTGACAAGGCGCGAGAGTAGATGAAATCGGGTACATCAGATCGCCCGACCAGGCGAATGCCGCCCGACCGAACGCGAGAGCAAAGCATAAATTATAAATCAGATCGCCTGACCGGGCGAGCACCCGCCCGACCGGGCACGACGCACCCGACCCCCCTTTCTTCTTCTTCTTTCTTCGGTTTTTCTCATTTCAATCTTTTTCCTCCATAACTTTCTCTTTCTAAAACTCAAATTCTCTCTACGTTCTCTATAAGATTCTCTCTTCATTTCTCACCCAAATCCAAAACTTTTTACATATTATTAATCCTCTCTTCATACTCTACATTTCTATATCAAAATTTTCGAATTCCATTCCAATAAATTTACATACCCATTTTTACCATGGCTTCAAAGAGGGCTCGATCTATTTTCGGTAGGAGTTCTAGCTCGAAGGAGGAGTATATATGACCCAGATTTGCAACTCCCGTACTTGCTGACGTTCCGTATTGCTAGCCAGGAGCAAAAGGAGCGGCTAGAACACCTAATCGGGCGCGAGGTAATTCCTTCAAGGTGGTTACACCGCCCTACTTTAGAATCGTATGGTTTGTATGATTTTGTGAAACGATTTTTAAATGACATAAACATGAGAAAATTCGTTAATATGTGTAGACACCCATTTGTGACTCCCCAAAACCAAACCCAGTGATGAGTACCTTTCACGTTGAATCATAATCGAATGAAACGAAAGTGTGGAAAGGTCTAGTGTTGCGGAAAGTTTTAATTTCTTTTCTCTTCTCTCTGTTTTTGAAAACTTATTTAAAGAAAACAGCCAATCCAGTTTGGTTGGTCCATGATATGGGTCCAATAGTAGTGTAGTTGGATGGGGCTTGCAAAGACCTTTCCAACGATATATTATAAGCCCTATTCCGATGAATATTGAGGAAGTTATGGCCAATTTACTAAACTGGGCCCGCTTTGAGCTTTATGTACGGCCCAATGATCTAGGGGAGGGCCTAATATGATTTATCATTCCTAATGCAATTAGGAATGGTTTTAGTCTTCTAGATTCTTCTAGAAGGTTCTTTTCATTCATAATTCAATTAGCATTGATAAATTGACTTTTGTTGACTTTTCAGAGTTTTAATCAAAATCAAATAGCATTTTCGAGGAAATTATATTATTTTATCCTCCAGTACGGTAAACTTATCGGATTTTCGAAAACGCGTTGGAATCAGGCTTGGCGCCAGCTCTGTTTTTAATGCGTCAAACTCTATTTTGTTAATTTATCTTTCTTGGTTGATTTTCTCTATAAATATCGTATTAAAAACTCCGTTTTGATTCATGAAGATTCATCAACAATCATTAATTCTTTAGCATTCTCTAAATCATTCATCTCTCTTAAAACATTCAATTCTTTCTTACTTTGCTTTTTCATACAAAATTCCGCATTCGTAAGATCTAGAAACACCTAGCCATATTCGAAGTTGCCTTCGCCCTAGACGTGAAAGGTTTAATTTCTGAGGGTTTGGTCCCAAATCTCTATTTCAATTATTTAATTTAATTGTTTGTTTATTATTTTCCTTGAAGTTACTAACGTGTGTATTTTGTAATTAGAAAGAGGTACGAGGCATCAAAGTAAGTACTTTATTGATTTATTGATATTATGATGTAGAAATCATGTTTACATTGTTATTATGATATTCCTAGTATCATGTCTAGGGTGACTTTAATATTAAATATGATTGCTATGATGCTTCCTATGTTCTTCCTAATATTTATGATTGTTAGTATCATGTTAGGGTTAAATATTTGATTTTTATTGCTTAGTGACATGCTAGGGTTTGTTATTAATCTTGTTAGTATCATGCCTAGGATTTTGCTATTTTTATTATGCTTTAATATTAACATGAATATGATTATGATTATAATTGTTATGATTTATGATGATTATTATTATTATTATTATTATTATTATTATTATTATATTTTTATTATTATTATTTTGGTGATGATTATTTTATTTATGATTATTATTATGACTATTATAATTTTATTACTATGATTATTATGTTGCTTGATATTTTTTCATTATTTTATTTTTATTGCTTGATCACGCCTTTATGCGTGTTTAAAGGGAATTGGTACTTGTAATCACGCTTAATAAGATATTAATAATCTTGTTTAAGGTTAATTGTGATTATAATTTCAAGTGATCGCCAATAATAGTTTCTTTGTGCATTAATATTCAACCAACATAGATAAACGGGTTTAGGGTTAAACCTAATGATTGCATGTTAATCAAAAAGCGCACATGAATACGATCTGAATAAAGTAGAGGCCTATTATTAGGGCAGGTTCAATCTCTTTTAGGTTGGATTTGTACCATCATCCCCGACCCCTTATTTGGTTCTAGACCTTATAGAGTTGACGATCTCTTGATCGTTAAGGGGTGTAACCTTCACCTCGTGAACGGTTTACAAGTTCCTAAAAAACTTGTTGGCGACTCTTTTGCTCAATCTTCTTCCCTTTTGGACGCCACCGTACTTTAGTGTATGATCACAGTGGGGTTCAAGCTAGTGGGATTTAAAGGCTTGAAATTATTCCCTACAGTTTTTGGCGACTCCACGGGGGAGGATTTCTATTTTAATTCCTGAATTTGTTTCGACAATGATTTAGAATGAGTGGATGAGACTCGAAAAGTTCTAAGTATTTCATGTGCGTAATTTTGATTAACATTATTGTCATATGCATAAAAAAGATCTCATTGAAATACCATCCGTAATGAGTTAAAAACATTGGATTTTACACGTAAAAAATTTGAGAAATATCTTTCACAACTAGGACTGAAATAACACCGCGCGAAACTGGAAAATTTTATCGAGCACAGAAAGCTGCTGAGGCATGTGGGAAGTAGCGTCAGGGGCCAGAGCTTGGCGCCAGTGTTTTAGTTGTAGCGCCTGACGACAGTATTGGCGCCAGACGCTACAGTTAAAAGCTAGCGCCAGTCTCTGATTGCTGGCGCCAGTTTACCCCAATACCGAGCCAGAAATATGCGTTCTAATTTCGACCGGTTTTTCGTATTGTTTGCTCGATCCTACTTCCTGATTGAACTTTTTCTCACTTTTCTGAAACCCATATGTGTTCTACATATGGACATAACCCTCTGGGAATTCATACTCCATCTACTCGATTGATTGCTCCGTGCAACAAAGGGTACGTCCGAGATGTTGAATTCACCAAACCATAGAAGCGAGTTTTTTCTAAAACTCGCGGTGTCCCATCCACTCGCGCCAACCCTTCACAGTTGGGCTTCCGCGCGGTGCATATGGACAATTAACCATGGACCTTCTATTGACTAACCCATATCCCAAACTTTAGAGGACTAGAGCCATGGTTAGGTTGCAAACTCATAGCATCATATTGTGCATACTTGACTAATTGTGCATTATTTGTTATGCATACTCTATGTAATTTTTCCTAACCGTTTGTTGACTTGTGTTGAGACTAAATCAATTAATGACTTAAATAACTTTGCCTAATTAATTAATTAATTAATTAATTAATTAATTTGAGTCGATAAAGTCTAATATTTTAATCGGAATTGACCTAATACGACTTTAGGCATACCCCAGTTGACTAATAACACCGAAAACAGTCCCAGACCGAAGCTCCAATATTGGCGCCAAGGTCTGAGTTGTAGTGCCACATTATGGAGTGTAGCGCTTAACGACAGTTCTGTCGCCTGGCGCCAAGCTCCACAGTGTGACGCCAGTCCTGTCGCTTAGCCGACAGTTCGGATTATTGGTCGAGTCATCACCTAAGGTCTAATTAATCAGTCTTCTGTTTAATTCGGTTAATTTTGCTGTCAATAATATTTAATTGAATCAATGATCGAGTTTAGGCACTAAGTCCCATGGTCTTACACAAGAGTCCAAGCATGTCACTTACACTCAACGCACACACCAATACACATACTTTGACCATGATTAAGTTAGTCTTGTGTGCGCGTTTTTCCGTCATTTTTTTTAGGGGGGTAAGTCGGATATTAATCCTCCAATAAAAATAATAATACTTAATTCCCGAAAAATATGTACATTATTTTTTCCAAAAATATGCACCCTTTTCTTTTTCTTTTTCCCTTAAAATAAACCATAAAGTCAAGATGATTCGAGTCAAGTAATTAAAACGCAAAATGGTTAATTTACAGCGCGTGGTCAAGAAAGGAAGGACGATTAATCAAAGATAACCTCTTCGTACAAGTCCAACTTTTCGACAAACCTATAGCTCGCAAGAGAAAAAGCTAGGGTTATAATGGCAACTTAAGAAGAAGTCAATGA